CAACCCTTTGGTTCACAGGTTGGCGCCTAATCCACTGAGTCACACCTATCAGGACTATTTTTTTAATACTTTATTTTTTATTGTATTTTTATTCCATTACCATTTATCCCCTATACACTCTCTTCTACCTGCCCCCACCCACCTCTCTGGTTCTTTCCACAGATGAGGTATGTTGGGCACCTGGAAGCTTCTAGCATGACAGAAGGTGAGATGACAAGATTCCCAACCCAACACATGCCTACCCTCCCTTTTCTTCCTGAAAACAAAACAAAACACAAAACCTAGGTCCTTTAAGCAATGTCAGCAGCAAAGCCCAGCCCATTACCACTTCCTTCCGGTGCTTTCACATCCTGCCTCTTACTGCTAACACTGCCACCACCTCGGGGACACTGCCCCAGCCTGGCGGTGGGGGTGGGGCTGGGGCAGCAGGCCGGGATCTGTGACGTCAGTGCCTGGGTTCAGGCCGGCTCCAGGCGTTTGGCTGGAGGATGCTCATGGCCCAGGGTCTGTTCTGTTACAGAAGCCAGCATCCCACACTGCCTTCCACCACCCTAATATTAATTTTTATTTATTTACTTATTTTTAGAGAGAGGAAGGGAGGGAGAAAGTGTGGGAGAGAAACATCTATGCGAGAAACATCAGTTGGTTGCCTCTCATATGCGCCCTGACTAGGGACTTGACCGAAAATCAGACTGGTGGCTTTATGCTTTTCGGGAAGATGCCCAACCAACCGAGCCAGTCAGAGCCATAAGGTCCATTTTTCAAGTTCACCACAGTTCCCTGAACGGGAAGGCCCCGCCATCCTTCTGGGTGCTTGTGGGACTGGCTTTGGGCCTCCCCCTGCGCAGGGAGGGGATTTGCATTCTGTTGGCCTTTTGCACCCACACCTCGGTTTTGTGGCCCAGTTCTCCAGCATGTGCTGTGCAAAAGCAGGAAGTAAGGTTTTAGGGGCTGCTCCAGGCCAGGTGCTGTTGAGGGGTTCTGAAGATTCCAGCTCAAATGATACTCAGTTCACATCTTGTAAATTCCACCCATTTAAAGTATACCCCACTGGATCCCACAGCACTCCTATCACACCAAAAGACACTGTGCCCATTGGCAGTCACTCCCCGCCCCCTGTCGGATTGAATTAAGTGTTGAATAGTGTCCCCCAAAAAGATATGTTCAAATCCTGACCCTGGTAACTGTGAATGAAACCTTGTTTAGAAATGGGGTCTGTTAGGGTGAGGCCACCCTAGAGTAGTGTGGGCCTAATGCAAGGAAGGACCCATGTTCTGATAAGAAGAGGATGATCTGGACACAGACTCACAGAGATGATGGTCATGTGACAATGGAGGCGGACAAACCCAGACACCAAGAAATGCCAGTAAATCAGCAGCAGTTGGCAGAGGCAGCAAGGACCCTGCCCAGGGCTGAGAGCAAAGAGCTCACTGCACATGGAGGAGGGCCGGGATCCGAATTGGGTGTCCCCCATCCCTGCCTCTGTTCCACTAAGACAGAGAGGGGTACAGGGTGTGCGTGGACCAGCATGAGGATCCTGCACCTGATAAAGAACTCCTTTTTCTGCCTCAGCTTCCCACAGGGGCGAATACAGATACTACTGTTTGACAAAATTGTGTCACCTGGAGGACAGAGAGGAACGTGACAGCGGTCATGGATTGTTGATATGTCCACTTAGGAGCCCCACCTCCTTCTTCTGAGGACGCAGCCCAAGGTTTCAGGAGATCCCACTGCATTTTCACTGACCAGAGGCACGTCAGGAAGGGCAGAATACATGAAACGGCGCCTCCTAAACTGCCACCCAAACATATGCCCCTCCCTGGCTGCCCATGCTTCCTTTTCACATTGGGAACCTTGGATATGAACTTGACTGTGCACTGGCCTTGGAAGCAGTGGGTAATGGAAGAAAGCAGTCACAGCTCTGAGCCGTCCACTGAGAGCCGGGCCCATCCACTCAAGGGTTGCATTCTTTCCTGGGGGCTGTGAACAGCTCCCAGCAAGTCAGCTACAGCGGTGGGTCTCTCCTGGGGTGGTCCTACCCCTAGGGGACCCAGGCAATGTCTGGGGACACCTGTGTTTGTCATACTGTGGCTATTTCTGGCATAAGGTGGGTGGAAGCCCTGTTGTTCCCAGAATCCAGTTTCTTAAGTCAGATTCCCCTATTCTGCTTAAGATATCTGAACTTCAAAATTCCAAGAAATCAGAAACACCGCTCACCAGCTGGGGCACGTCTGGAACTTCCCAGAGTAAAAACCCAACTTCCCAGTTACTGCTGGGGGATTTTGTTAAACCTCCATTTTATGAGGCTCTGGTGAGGTGAGAACAACTCCCAAAAGATGATTAATGGCTGACTTTTCCATGAACTTAAGAGCTCAGCCTCGGAGCACTTCCACATAAGAAACAGCCTGCCCTAGGCTTGCTAGAAGATGAATCACCTACAGAGTTCAGAAACTGGGCCCTGGCCAGACAGCTCAGCTGGTTGGAGCATTGACTAAATATGCCAAGGTTATAGGTTCAATCCCCAGTCAGGGCACATATGAGAATCAACTAATGAATGCATAATTAGGTGGAATGACAAATTGATGTTTCTCTCTTCTCTCTCCCTTCCTCTCTCTCTAAAAACCAATGAAAATTAAAAAAATAATAATAAAGTAAAAAGTTCAGGAACTGAACTAGCCTTCTGTGTGAATCCCCTGAGGAACTAAAATACTACTTTTGCTGAGAAGAAGCGGGGGCGGGGAGAAGAGGAGGACTGGAGAGAGACGGACAGACAAAGAGAGAACTTAGACTTGAGCTGGTCACAATTACCTGGTACACAGAGGACACTGAGCTCAGCTTTGCAGGAGATGCAAAGATGATAAAGACACACTCTCTCCTTTAGGGCTGTTCCAACAAAAAGTAAGCTACCAGGCGTGAAAAGACAGGAGGAACTACAAATGCATATGTCCAAGAGAAAGAAGCCAGTCTGAGCAGGACACACTGTGATTCCAGCTCTAGAACATTTTGGAAAAGATGGAACTGCGCAGACATTAAAAGGTTCAGTGGGTGCCAAAGGTTGGGGGGAGGGAAGGATGAATAGGCAGAGCACAGAGGATCTTCAGGGCACTGACACTGCTCTGCATGATGCTGTCATGTTGGATACACGTCACCATACATGTGTCCCAAACCACAAAATATACAACACAACAAGTGTCAACCATGGACCTGAGGAAATAGTGACCTGTCAGTGTAGGTTCATCCTTGTAACAAATGTCCTGCTCTGGCTGGTGAGGTTGGCAGTGGGAGAGGCCGTGCGTTCTCGGGTGGGTGGGGAGTGGAGGCATAGAGAGTAATGGGAAATCTCTATGCCTTCTGCTCAGTTGCGCAATGAGCCTGAAACTGCTCTAAAAAATAAAGCCTATTAAAAAAATTATAGCTAACATTAATTCACCAATTACGACACATCAAGCATTTGGCTAAAACCTTTAAGTAGCTCAACCCTTTGAAGAAATTACGAAAGCCACAAACAGGAAGCAGAAAACCATGAAGCCTAGCAGAGCAAGAATTGAACATGTATTTGCAGAAGGAATACACACCATGGAAGGCATTAGAAATATAATATGCGCCCAGGCTTAATTTCAAATTTTCCAGTGGCTACACTGAAATGCAAGAAAATGAAAAGAAACAGGTGAAATCAATATTCATAATATATTCTATTTAACCCAAGGGCAAGAAAATATCATTTCAACACCTAAGGAATATAGAAAGTATTAAGGACATAGTCTTTTTTAAACATACGAGTCTCTGTGACCTGGTGTATATTTTTGCACGTATAGAAGGTCCTCATTTAACTCAGCCATGTTTCGAGGGCTTACTAGCCACGTGTTGTGGCAAGTAGCTGCAGCCCTGGACAGCTCAGCCACAGAGGGGAAAACCCACCTGTCAGAAAACAGCAGCAATGGAACAGGTGTTGTATGAGGTGGGTGTGGATTTGGACCCAAGGGAGGAGAAAGGCAGCCACCAGAGAGGATCTGGGATGAAGAAACAAAGGATGCCTTCTGGGATGGGGGATGAGGGGGAGGGGGGCGGAGCCAGGGCAGCCAGGACTTTCACTTGCTGTCTTCTCACTCCATGCTCAGTACACTCCTTCAAAGAGTTCTGATAACTGACTGGCACAGACTACCCGCAAGCACGTGGGGGAAAAACCCACTCATTCCTTAAGACATCAAACAGGAAGGAGGGCGCACTGGGGCTCAGGGCTTCTGGGAGTCTGCAGCTCCTTGGCATCCCTCAGCACTGAGATATAAAAGAGGCTGAGAGCCCCCTTTCTCATCCCTGAGAGGGATGAGAAAGCGATTACCCAGAGGCCACGTGCGTATAACACCAGCAAGTCCAGAACCAGATAGTAGAGACAGACCCCTGGACTGTGAAATATGCAAAAGTACACATGCATCATATTCAAAATTTATCCGACTTGTGCTTGGAATATGTACAGTGCACTGAATGGCAATTAAACCTCTATAAAAGTTTGAAAAACACACAGAAGAATCTTACTCCAAAATTAACATTGGCTCTCTAGGTGGTAGGTCACCCAAGATTAATTTTCCGCTTTGTGACTTTCCAACTAGCCCCCTTTCCCTTTCAGTGACATTTTATAAAATACATGGTCATTTAAAACCAATGCCAGCCCACAAGCTTCAAAGAGGGAGTTGCGAAGTCCTGCCAATGGGCAGTGCGGACACTGCCAATACCTCCCGCTCTGCCCCGGTGCAGTGTTCAGTGACTCAGGGGACCAGGAAGCAAGAAGCGCGCTTGTAAAAAGCCGATTCTCCGTCTGGGAACCCTGGGAATCAGTGGCGGCGGCCTAACGATAGTTAGTGACACGATCCGGGGTTGACCCCAACGTGACATTTATAGCCACGAATTCTACCGAGAGTCCACAACTCCCTTCCCGCCATCCGCGTTGGCCCTCCGAGGTGTTAGGCCGCCCGCGGCCCACGTTCTTCCCTGCAAGCACCCACCTGCTTCTTCTCGCAGACGCTCAGGGCCACCCTCGCCTCCGTTCTCCGTTTCCCGCCTCCGTATTCGGTCTCCGGCCAACTGCCCCGGGTCCTCTGATCGCCGCTATTTGAGCCCCACCTCCTTCCGCGGAGGAACACCGCACAGGGCCCACCTCGACCCCGCCCGGCCGGATCTATTTTCGCTACAGGCTGAAGCCTCCCCGGAAGCAGAGCTAGTGGGCGGAGGTCTAAACCGAGAAGGGGCGCGCACAGACACCGCGCTCTGCGTTGCTTGGCAAACGAGGACGAGCTGTGATGCCATTGGTTAGTGGACCGAGCTTCCTCTCTTCTGGGAATGTGGGGCGGGGCCTCGAGCAGGGGCTGGCCTAGAAGGAGGAACTTGCTCTGGCCAGGGCACCATGCAAAAGGCGTGGTCTGAGGGTGGGGCTGATTCGGGGAGTGGAGACTCATGGGCGGGGCTTGGAGGCTGAGCCTGCCTCAGCATTTGTCTGTTGAGGGGAGGGCTCAGCCTCCAAGCCCCGCCCAGGTTCCTGAACCTGGGGCGGGGCCTGCGCCGTCCGCGATGCTGGGGCGTGGCCTGGGACCGGAAGGGCTCCGTTGGTTGGCGAGCGGCGGAGAGGTGTGGCGTGGGAGGTGCTCTAGGTTGGCCGGCGGCGCTCTGGGCAAGGACTGGGCCCTGCCGAGTGCCTAGGCCTGACAGCAGCGCTGGCCCGCTGCTTGCCTGCACTGCCACGGCAGTTTCGTAGAGAAGTTCTCCTTCCACTGCCATCATGTGAACCTCAAACGCCGCGTGTGGGCGACATCCCCGTGTCGAGCTCACTGCTCACAGACTGGAGCCAGAACACGATGAAGGACACCTGGCCATCCCATCGAAGATCTGCGAGAGCAGGGGCCCCGCCTGGGCGTGTCCCTGGTCCAGCCAGAAGACCCCGGCCCAGGCTGCTTACTCGCTTCTTCTTCCTGCCCCCAGCCCGGGAGAAGCTGGCCAAGTGGCAGACGCCGTACCAGAAGATGGACCAGCTGTACCAGGGAAAGATTTATTTCCCGGTTAAGGGGGCGGCCCACCCACCCCAGGACACCCCAGTCTGCCCATCTCTCGAACTTGCCTTCCTCCTGACTCCCTTTTTTAGGGAAATCATGGTATTTCCCTAACGAGCTTCGAGTAATCTTCCAATAAGAGACCATTTCCTGCAGCAATTGCGAGTAGGGCTCAGCAGTGGCGATGTGCTGAGGGCCCCGTTGTCCATGGGGTCCAGGGCTCTTCCCAAGGGGCCTATCCTCCACCTCATCCCTGCTTTTCACGACCTGGTTAGGATGGGGTGTACATGGCTAGCCCTTCTCTGAACTTGGGGCCACACCGCCTCTACACCCACGTGTCCCTGCAGGTCATCGTGCAGAGGAAGACAGTTGTGCAGGGTCTCCTCCTTTACAAGTGAGTCTTTGTAGAACTAATTGGCACAAGTAAGTACCACCACCCCAAATCCAATGTGAATTTTATCAGAAGTAGTAGGTTGAGCATCTGTAGGGACAGCCACCAGAAGGCAGGACCTGGCCCCTGTGCTCAGGGCCCCAGCCCCTTTCCCTCAAGGGTCTCTGAGCTCAGCTGGCACAAAGTGGGCAAATCATCCTGACTAAAGGGTCCCTCCCCCACGAGTCTGGTCTGACTCCTGCCCCAAGTGGGTGTCAGGCCTGTGGTCAGAACCTAGAAGGATACCCCACAATGGACGTGTCCCAGTGGAGTGCCCTGGGGGACCACAGGCACTGCCTGGGCACCAAACTTGGGGCTAACTGGGGCCCTCTTGTGTTTTTCAGACAGAACATCAGCACAAGGTGAGCCCCACTCTCCTCTCCATAGCCCTGGCCTGGCGGTGGGGTGGGGGGAAACAATAGGGTGGTGTGTGGTCCTCCAGGTCACTGGTGGCAGATGAATGTGGATGTCGGGTAGGGCAGGCACAGCCAGGCAGGGTTCTCTGCACCTGGGACATGCCAGACATCACTTGTGCAGCCACATCCATATGATCGCTTCATGAACATGTCCTCCTCACCGCTTGGATGCACAAAACCACTCCAGCCTTGTGAGTCATCTAGAGGAATCTGCATGGATGGGGAGCTGGGGGAGGGGGCCCAGGTGGCAGTACAAGCCAGGACATAGATCAAAACCCAGGAGCTTATTTACCACAGACCCACCCAGGAACTTCTGCAGCCCATTGTGGGAGTTGGGTGGGGACAAGAAAACAGGCTGGGCCTCCCAATTCATCCTTGAAGGTCTGTTTGCAACCCTGTCACATGTCCCAGCGGGGAAGAGAGGCACAGTTCCCTAGCAAATACAGTTAGAGGGAGGCCAGGGAGGGGAGAGAAGTACTGAGGCACCTGTGTCTCTCTGAAGCCAAGCTTCACCTGTCTAGAATCCCATCACCTGGCTAACCTGACCCTCAAAAATGCTCCCGCATGCCTGAGCGGCACTGATGGCTGCCGGCCTACTGAACGGCCCCAGCCACAACATGGAGCCAGGTCTCAGCTGGGCTGTCCCAGCCTGACCCTGTGGAACAGGCTCCTTGCTCTCCGAAGCCCCTGCACCCCCATCAGAGCCCAGGCAGGGCCAGGGCTGGGAGGAAGGTAAGGGATGGACTATATACAGCAGAGGCCAAGTGGGATTTCAGAACTATATGAATAATGATTAAATGTCCCTGACATTTCTCATCACAGAGCAGTCCCTGTGGGTCAGGGAGGACCGTGTGAGGCAACCGGCTGGGTCCCCAGGCAAGGCACATCTAGGTCATGGAAAAAAGGTTCAGGGGTCCCCACATCGATCTGACTGCAGGTGGTTTGGCTGAGTGTACCTGGGCAGGCCCACCCGGAAATGAGCCTGGAAGCAAGTGGATTCCTCTGGTGGCTCAGTGATACCGCGGTCTGGCCAAACAAGGCCTGCTTGACTTGTATGTCCTGGGGCTCAGCTCACCAGGTCACATAGGGCTGAACCTCAGCCCAAGGAACCCTACAGCACTGCTTCTGAAATCACTCCACGTGGGTTGATTCAGGCTGGACAGTAGCTCCCAAGAGGAGGGAGTTTTGGGAATGCTGCCCACGGCACCTCCTGTGCCTCTCTGTCCCGAGCCTGGCACTCCTTTCTCAGCCTGGCTGCTACTCCCCTGACTTCTTTCTACAGCTCCCTCTTGCTCTCACAGGGGGCTGGGCATGTGTATTTGGTGGGGGGGAGTCACAGGGGTGCTGATGGACCCCACCGGGCTGGCTTCCTATGGAGGTTCCACTGTTTATTTGCGAAGTTTAGACAAAATGGCATAAGACTCAGGTGACAGTTGGGTAAACTGACATATAGCCGATTCATGGGATGTGTTCAAAAGCGCCTTTCACAGGCGTGCACGCTGGGAGCAGGGCTAGCTGATCAACAGGATCTGATCACCCTGTCGTTTCTGCCACCTTGGACTTTGCCTTTTCCAGCCTGAGGGGCTAGCAAAGGGGTGGTGTGTTGCAGGAACCACTCCTACCCACTAACGGGGACAGCCTGCTGGCAGCGGACAGTGGTGGAAGGCAGGCCTGCCCAGGCTTTTCTCCCCACTGGGGCCCCAAGCGGGGTTTAGTGTGGGGCTGGTTTGTGCCCATGGTCTTCACTCTCCCACCCTTGGGAATTCAGGTTGGAGCTGATTGGGGCTTTCTGTCCACTGACTCAGACTGATCCGGTTTGAGTTATCCCTGTCCGTGCAGTGTCAAAAAAGGCAGTGGACATGTGAATGCACACACGGGCATTGCCTTCCTTCCAGTACCTGCTCCCGCCACTCAACCCCGTAGCAGTGCGGTCCAGGGAAGGGGTGTGATGGCCACTGTGTTGGTGTTACCCTATGGGTAACACCATGAGACACTAAGGGACCCATCACTTACTCCGTGAGTCCAGGGACCTAGATGGCATGAGGCTTGTGTCAGCTCCTGAGAGGATGCGAAATGGGCAGGTGGGGGGACAGGGCTTCCCAGCATGCTGCAGCCTCCATAAGGGTTGCCCCATAGCCCCCGCCTGACCGGACCCCAAGTAGCTCAGGGATGTCCAGAGACATTGGCCCCGTGACCATCCCACCTCGGGCTGCAGGGCAATGCCCCTGGCCAGGATGTAGCACTGCCACTGGCAGAAGACCCAACAGGTAAACGTGTTTTGCAAGTTTATTGGATCATCTTGACACAAAATCATGACAGCAGCGTGATATGTCTCTCCTTTACACGGGAATGTTGATAGCAAATTCTTATATAACACATCATACAATTTTGAGATTCTAGAATCACTGCACAGGATTCTGTAATAGATTACATGCTAAAGTGACAGTTTTCATCAAAAGGAAAGTAAAAACATCATTGAGGACCATCATTTCTGAGGAAAATCTGGGGTGGGCTGGAGTGCCCTTGCCTGCCCATGAGACACATTAAGGGACCCAGCCTCCCTGGGACGCATGTGCTTCACCACAGGGGCCATGGGGCTCAGGACTGGGACCTCCCAGCAGCTGTGGGCATGATGTAAGGACAAACCCTGTGGAACTTCAGTGACGAGAGGGGGGGACCTACAATTGTAGCACTCCATCACTCACCCCAAATGTCAACCAAGACATATTCTACTGAACAGAAAACCGTGAAAACCAACAAGGTCCAGCCTCTGCTCTGTTAGGGGTCCTGACTGAATCCCCTCCCTTGCTCTAGCACCCTACGGGAGCCTTGGTGTTCACCACCATTCTCCACCTGGCATATGATCATGGCAATGGGACACAGAATCCAATGGACAATGGCCTACACGACCCTTTTCCCACCACGTGTCCTGGGGAGACAGAACTGACTGTGGCTGTGAGGGTAAAGGGGAATGTTACTGTGGTGAGCAGTCCGCCCATTTCTCACACCCCTAGGTGCCATATGGGGACTTGGGGACTTGTGGGACTGGATGACTTCACAGAAGCAGGACACGACCCCGTGTTGTCCACCGAACACTCATCACCCGGGCCCACAGGTCCTGGCCTGGGCAGTGGTCACACTCACTCCGTGGGTAGCTCCTGCAGCTGTGTGCAGTTGGCCCTGGCTACAGGAGTCACTGATGGTGTGGGGACTGGAATGGGTTTCTCCCCAGAGCGGCGGAAGAGTCAAAGTAAAAAAGATGACAGGAGAAATCAGTGGACACATGACCTCAATGTC